AATTGAAACATGATATCTTATTAAAGGAGTTGTAAACTTTGCTCCCTGTCTCTCATGGATGTGGCCTTTGGGGCCCAATATGCATTTGGGATGTGTATCATCTTTTAAGAGAAAAGAGCTGACACTTTGGTTGGTTCCAGTTTTTGAGGTGATGCTACTTATAATAGCACCTTTTTTTAATCTGAGGAAAATATTTACTAAAAAACTGTCTTCCAAAATATAACAAATAAAGTCAGAGGAGTGGAGACTCCTTCCGTGGCACTCCACACCTCTCCTCTGCTCCTGCCCAGGGGCTGTCTGGAGTGTGTAAAGACTTCATGCAACTATTACTCTGGCACCCGTGGACCTGACTGAGTACACAGTCCTCCATGAAAGACACATCTCCAACACTTACAGTTGTAACAGGGACATCACATGATTTGTTATTAATGAAACAATTTATTGGCTTTAAATACATACACATCAGTAAATGTTTTAATATTAGTTTATGTTTTATGGTAAAAGAATACTGAACCAAAACATGAAGAGAAAATGGAGGCTCAGTAGCATGATTTCAATATACTTTCCTGGATAAACAGATTTTTTTTTTAAGTATATGACTTTTAATCTAAGAACAAAAGCTTCCTAAACTCAATGTTTAGAACTGAATTGTCTGTGACCAAATTAAAAAAAAAAAAAAAACCTGAAGCTCACAGAGTAAAGGCACGGTGTGGGCAGCAAGAGAAAAGAGAAAGAAATGGGGAGAAATAGATTTTAATATCAAGTGTAACTTCAGTTGGCTGGTTTTGTTTGTTTTTGTTTCAGGCTATTTAAGGCAGGATTATCTCTCTGCAACTCTGCAGATAAATCCTAGTGTTTTAGCTATAAGAAAGTTTTAAGAGTTCAGATATACAGATAAGCCAATTTTTAAAAACCCTTTTCTTACAGTATTTAAAAAGGCTTTTGAAGCGTTATATAAATCTTTAAAATTCCTATCACCCACATTTTAAGAAATAAATCTACACTTTAATAAGGCACTCTTAAGATATAAAACAGTTTTGAAAACAATTACATTCTACGCTAGGGCTAACCATTCCTTTGCCATAGGGACAGAGTGGACTATCTTCCTGAACCTAGTCAGTCTCTGTGCACCAACACAAACAAGGTGCCACAAATAAGAGGGGCGCCTCAGACCACCCCAAATTTACCTAAGTAGCTTAATCTTGTCAATGGGGCTCTCCCATTCACCGATGAGAGAGTTACACTAACAGAACTGCCCAAATTAATTAAGTGACAATCTAATAACAAAGGATAATCTGACATTTTACTTGTGTGTCTTACATATATGCATGTTACTGGTGCTAATGGCTTCCATTTCTAAATAACAAGAATTCAAATCTCACCATCCCTATGGCTAATTAAAACAAACACCAAAACTTACAATATAGTAATGCCACCTCTAAGACTGTAACAACATGAGAGATTTCAGTGGAGTTCCCACTCTTTCCTAAGTGGCAGAAGAAAATGAAGGAATAAGAAAGGTCAGACTAAGCCTGAAATACAATTTCACTATGAAAAAAGGGCAACCAATGTCCCACTGAGTGGGAGGAGTTAAACATGGGGCACTGGGGGTGCATCAGATTGAGGCACTGGTGTGGTGTGAGCTGGGTCTTTGCTTCCTATGAGTAAAGAAGGACCCTAGAAAGGTAGCTGCAAGGCGCTTCGTTCTTCATCCTTCTGGGCTGGCAGCAGATGATCGATTACTTTCCGTAGAACTTTTTGTTGAGAAGGAAGATCAGAAGGTTGACATTTACTTTAGCTCTGTCAAATAATTTCATGACTGCAACTCCTTCATATTGTAGCTGCAACAGGTCCTGTTCAAAAAAACCATTTGGACAATTAAGACTGTGGAACTGAAAAGGAAGGACACAATATAGGGAGGGATCCAGAAGGAATGAGGCACTTGTGTGCCGGATGTGACCTGGGGTGAGAAACAAGTCCACAACTGTGGTGCTGCCTGCCCACTGCCCAGGTTGTCTAAGGATGTGTCACCTGGAGAAGGTGACGGCGTTTCAATCCATGATGAAGTCTACTAACCACTAAGAACAAGATAAGGCCAGTAGTGTTGTCTCAACAGTATCTACTAGAGTCTTACCTTCTATTCCAAATGAGAAAGCTTTTATATTCTGAATGCAAGGGGAAAGAGAGGACTAAATGGTTTTTAGGTGCCTACTCTGCGCTCCACGATGTGGAAACACATTCTATATTGTCCTTTTAAGCCCTGACAAAAATCCTACAAGGTGTGATTATCCTAGTTTTAAAGATAAGGCTACTGAGGCTCAGAGATGTTTAACGACCTCCCACCAGTACAGAGTTCGACCTGGTGAATCCGGATCTGACTGCAAGGCCCCTGCCTTCCCCACTACCCTCCACTGTCCAGAACAAACTGAGGAAATCTGAGTCATCGCATCCCTAAACTTTGGAAGAGCAATAAACAGAAAGCAAGAGTCAAAGGGCTTAAAGGGACCTCAAAAGTTCAACCAATTCACCTTTTGGAAAAATCCTAGCAGCTCCATGAGAACGAGAACCCTGGTACAGCACCTGTGCCAACATAACA